CGGAAAAAAAAAAAAAACTAAAAAGGAGGGGTGGTTTTGCAGCTTAGCGCTGCTTTTCTGCCTGTGCTCGCATGGCAAAAAAATAAAAAAAATAAAAAAAAATCCACTTTTGTGGCGTGAAGCCCTCGGTCACCTTGTGGAAAAAAAAATAAAAATACTGTTGGTGGGATGGGGCACGGGCTGGGAAATGGGTGAGAGTGTGGGGTGGGAGGTGTCGAAGGGGGGAATTGCTTGCGTGAGCAGTTGGAGAAACGCTGAGCCGGGGCTGCGCGGGAGCTGCAGACAGGATCCTCACGTGACCGTCTGAATCTCAGACCATTGCTGGACCACTTTGCCAACAGCCTCTCGCGGCTCATCAGCTGCAATATCGCCGCTTTTCTTCTTCTTTTTTTTTTTTTTTCAGTCCCCTTTTATATTCTTTCCCCTTTTCTTCCCCACCCTGCCCCATCTCTGAGCCGAAGGAGGGGGGATGAATACGACACAGAGGGTGGCTGCAGCTGCGCAGGGTCTGTATCCAAATGGTTTCCTGAAAGGCAAGTTTGCGGGTTGGTTTTGTTGGGTTGTTTTGTGTTTTTTTTTTTTAATCTTAACAATATTTTTACTGTGAGTCTCTCCTATCTGGACTGTTTGGATGTCAGGTTTAGTTTCCCATGACATCGAGTGATTAGAGGATGGGGCTGAGGGGGGGAAAGGAGGGCTGAATGCTTTTTTTTTTAAATATATATATATATATTTTTTGCTCTATGTGCAAATCTCTGCAGCGGTATCGTAGCCCATCGATGGGAAATGTGTTCCCTCTCGTCTTTGCGATAGTTCTCGGCGATTTCCTCTTTTACGTCACTGCAGTTAATAAGATGTTTAACTTGGGAGCTGGGGGCGATGTGGCGTGTTATCGTGTTGCAGGGAAAAGGGAAAAGGAGGGGGGGGAATGACGAGTTCCCGCACAGACTTGTGCTGGGGAAGATCCTATCGATGCAACCTTTCAGGCTGGGGAGAGCAGCTGGGTTTGGAGTCAAACCATTGCCTTTCACCCTTAATGAACCTGACCTGGCTCCATCTGATTTTTATTTATTTTATTTATTTTATTTATTTTATTTATTTTATTTATTTTATTTATTTTATTTATTTTATTTATTTTTTATTTTATTTTATTATGACAATGATTTTTTTTTTCCTTCCAATACCGAGAGAAGCAACTCAACCCTCTGTATCTCCTGCATTGCCAGAGTCAAGGGTACACATCTTGATTTTTTTATATATATATATATATATATATTTTATTTTTTTTTAAGCAGACTGTACCTGCTTGCCTGGACTTTGCTTTTTTATTTTTTCCCTTTTCTTTGCCCTGATGGCTTTTTTTATCCTAAAGTTGGGGTGACAACACAGGTGTGGTACCTGCAGAGCCGGAGCCCTCTCCAGGAGGGCTGTTGACTGTGTGTGTTCTGAGTCCTGTGCCTGTCTCTGGTTGATGATAGGGTTAATAAAACGTCACCGTTGAACCCGCCTTGACCAGAAATAGTGTCCCTCCGTGCCATGGTTTGCAAGGCCAGCTTGTCGAGAGCGGGCGAGTTGGTCAATAAACGCCCCGAGCGGCACCCTTGGGACTTACGCACCGAAATGGAAACGCCTGTGTCCTTCAGCCCTTCCCTCCTTGCCAAGTTGTTTTCTCCCCTCCCCGACCTCTTCCTTCGCCAACGTGCCACTCAAACCCTCTCCTTTCTGCTGTGTTTTTCCACAAGTGTCTTTCGAGCATGACAGCAGGGAGAAGAAAGCTGGTGTGGGGCCACCAGCGCTGCGATGTGGGGGGCTGATGGTTATCAGCCCAACCTTTGCCTGTGGGTTTTTGAGGGGGGGTCCCCTTTGCTGCAGGTGACTTGGTGGCTGCTGGCTGTCTGTATGGTGCAGGTGGGTTGGCATCTGGCAGCGGTTGGGCATGGGGCTGCCTCTACCCACCACCAGTCCCATCCCACCTACCTTCACTCTCCCAGGTCTACCACCTCATCTCAAGGGTTTAAGGCAGATAGCCTGGCTGGGGGTGACCAAGGTGTCCCCACGTAAGTGTGGAGCAGAGAAGGGCTCCATAACCCTCTCAGGGCAATGGGGTGGGCAGGTGGGCACGGAGGTTTTGCAAGAGGAACAACCACAGCTCTGGTGGTGGTGGCATCTTCCAGTCTTCAAACAGGACCTGTTGCTTGCAGTCCTGCTTGCACTTAGTTGCAGAATTGCCCTAATAATCCCTGGGTTTTTTTTTTTTTCATTTTTTAAGAACAAAATGCATCTTAAAATGCCACGTGCCACCAGTACGTTGGGACGTTGGCTTGGGTTTTTTTGGAGGGTCACAACCTCCCAACTCTACTCTTCCTCCAGGGAAGAAGCAACGCGGTTGAGTGCGATTTTCATCCCTCATGGGAACAAGGTCTTAAATAATCCCACCACATCCCAGCTGCTGGGTGCAGGAGTTAATTTTTCTTGCTTCTTCTGCCATGCACTGGAGCCCTCTCCATCCCACTCCTGCAACCTGGGGTGATGGGGAAGGTTTGGGTGCCATCTCAGCACATGCTCCCAAGTTGAGCGGCCGCTCCGGGGCCCGCTTCATGCGAACGGGGTCAGCAGCTGGGAAACTGCAGAGCAAAGTGCCTCCCTGGTAATTCCCAGCTGCCGTTAAAGCGGCTTTAAAATAAATTCCCTCAAAGAGCAATTCCAAGTATTTGAGGGTTTGAACTTTTCCGGAGAAGGGTTTGGGAGCTGCCGGCTACCGCGCTGCGCCCTGGCACAGTGGGGGAAGGCGCTGGGGGAATTGCCCTGATTATCCCAACCTCTAGAAAACACTTTTTTTTGGGTTTTTTTAGTTTTTTTTTTTTTTTTTCTCTTAATGTATATATTATGTTTATTCACTAGCTGCGTGTGCGACCCAACCATCAGGAGCGGAGTGCTGCTGGAAGCAAAGCTTGCCTTAAACTGGGAAGGTGGGTCGCTGAGCAGGGTTCCTGGGATGCAGGCGATGCCTGGGGCTCGGCGACCCTCACCGTGGCCTCCTACCTGGCCACCAGCTCTTCCCCGGGGGCCAGGCGCCCCTCGCCGTGCATTCCTCGGCCGGCTCTGCTTGGTAACGTGGGCACAACACAAAACAAACTTTGCAGCGAGCCTTGCTCTCCCAGAGCCCCTGAAGCTTGCTTTTTTCTTTTTTTAAGAGAAAAAAAAAATACTTTGGAGCAATGTGGTCTTTTTTTTACTTTTTTTTTCTCATGCTCATGAAAATTCTCATACCAAACCAGTAACCTTTGCTGCCCCCAGTTCATTATTTTTTAAGGTGGCGTTAGGGGGCATTTAAGGGGAGGCTTCCAGCCTGGCTTCCCAGCCTCTGTGTCCCCTCCTTATTTGCACCCCGTCGGTGCCAGTTTACAGCCTCCTGCTTGCTTACGTGATGGGCAGAAAAACAGGGATTTTGGTCAACAGAGAGGACAATTTGTCTCATCCCCACGTCCCCACCCCAAAAGGCTCTGGATGCCCCTGCGCTGATGCTCGATGGGGTGATGCATCCACAGTGGGGGGGTACAACTTGTTGGTCACAGGGGTGTCCCCATAGGCCCGGGTGCCCCAAGATGGGGACAGCCAAGCCTTTCCTTGCAAGGACAGTGCTGGGCTCCTGCCCAAGTCCCCTCTCCGGGGCCCTGCCATCACTGCAAGCGTGACCAGGCTGAGGGCTGGTGATCAAACTCATGATCCGGGTGCCCTCCTGCCCCTCTCGGTGCCCTGATAGTGGGGATGCTGACAGCAGGGCCACATCCAGGCAGGGATCGTGCACCTTCAAAGGGCTTGGGAATGAAATGAGCCAGTTTGGGCTAAAACCACCCTAGAAACCCCATTACAGCAGGGGTTTCCTCCCCGCGCACCCTTCATTGCTGTGGTTCAAACCCATTTTGTTCGTGGGCTGTGCTTTGCTCTGGCAGCTTCTTCATTAACTTTCTGCCACATATGTAAATTTTTAATTTTTTTTTTTTTTTTTTCCTGCGTGGACATGGTGGAACCATCTCCTGAGGCAGGAGAAAACACATCTTAAGGCCAGGTAGGAAAACCTGCAAATGGCAGAGGGAGATTTGTTGTGCGTGGGGCAAGAGTGGGTCCAATCCCAGCCCAAAGTCGCATCCAGCAGACCACACACTTAGTTCTTTTTTTTTTTTTTCCCTTTTTTATTCCTCCAAAACTAATCCCTCCAGCCCCTTAGGCTTTTTTTTGTTGTTGTTGTTATTGTTGTTGCTTCTCTCTGAATTCCTTCTAATTTGCAGGCTGGCTGCCAGCATACAACGCGCTGGCTATAAAAAGGGGACTTGTTCTTCAAGCTTCCCCCCCCCCGGTACACGGCGTTTGCAACACGTTTGACAAGTAGGTCTGATTCCCCCTGCTATTAAACCCAAAACACTGGTAGGGTCCTTGGGGGGCAGAGCCCTAGAGACAAGCCCAGTGGAATTACGCGGAGGGCCCCGAGCCCAAATCCCAGCCGGTGTTTTAAGCTCCTGTCAGCTGGAAAAATGGGAACCGTGGCTTTTTATTTTTCTCCTCTGCAGCTTCCTTCTCTCCAAGAGGCAGTGGATGTGGTTTGCATCCCTCCGTACCGCACCGGTGCAGGTAGGGCAGCAGGGTGGGATGCGGGCTGGAGCAGAAGACCCACATCCCACCGAAGCCAGCCCACCAATTTAATTTAATTTAATTTTTTTTTTTTTTTTGGCTGGTCTTGGAGGCTGATCCTCCCCACTGTTACAGGCAGCCACGATGCAAAGCCCCTGCCAGCTTCCTTCTTAAAACTAATGAGCCGTTTGACCCTGGCAAGTCCTCCGGGAAAGCCGCTGCCGGAGCCTTACTGCTCACACGGATACAAACTGCTCTCCTTTCCAGCTTCAATTTATTTGTGGATGACTCGTACCCATTTGGCCTCGTTCTTCTTGTACCCGCGCTGGCTTTTAGCTCAGATGGCTCTTTTCCCTGCTCTGGTATTTATCCTCTGGCAGGCTCTGCCGAGCACCGTGGGTCTGCCAACCTAAATAAGCCCATTTTTCCTGGTTGCGAATGGATGGAGGGAGGAGTAAGGGCATCAAGGCTTCCCCTATCGTAGTATGGTTGAAGTTGGAAGGGACCTTAAAGATCATCTAGATCATGCCGTGGGCAGGGACACCTCCCACTAGACCAGGTTGCTCAAAGCCCCATCCAGCCCAGCCTTGCTCCATCCCTGGGGTGGCAATAGCCCCACAGCAACTCACATCTGCAGCTCATCCTCCCATTTACAGAGGAAAATCCACCATGATTCCTCTCCACATCCTCACCAGGGATGATCCCAACCTGCAGAAGGAGCACCCTGACCATCCTCTCCAATTTGAAGCCGTCATCTCATTTCATTAGAATTTCATTTCATCCTCTTTTGCAATGCAAAAGCCATTTGGGTGGAAGATGAGGGTTGGTTCTTCTTTTTTTTTTTTTTTCCCCTATTGTAGCCTTCAGTAATGCCCTT